CAGCCTCAACTCATCTGCCCACCTCGCCTCCCAAAGTGCTGGGATTACAGGCATGAGCCACTATGCCCGGCCAAGGGAAACTTTTTAAGAAAAATTTAAGATGGGGTCTCTCTGTGTTGCCCAGGCCTCCCGTCTCGGTTTCCCAAAATGCTAGGATTATAGGCATAAGCCACTGAGGCCAGTTGGGAAACTTTTTTTTTTGAGGAAGCGTGTATTTAGCTGAGATCCAGAGTAAGAGTTAACTTGATTATGATGGGAAAATAATTTTCTGGAAAGAAGGAGCAGCCCATCCTGAGTGGGGAGGGAGCATGGTACCTAACATCCAACAAAGGCCAGTGCGGCAGAAGTCTAGAGCACGAGGGGTGTGGGGAAAGGGCTGCTAGGGAGTTAGGGCCCAAACTGCAGGACATTGTAGGCCAAGCTCTTCTTCATCCTTAGGGTTAAGATTTATTTTTTATTCCATCCATCTATCTATCTATCTATCTATCTATCTATCTATCTATCTATCTATCTATGAATGAATGAATGAATGAATGAATGAGACAGGGTCTTCCTCTGTCACCCAGGCTGGAGTGCAGTGGTACAATAATAGCTCCACCGCAGCCTCAAACTCCTGGGCTCAAGTGATCCTCTTGCCTCAGCCTCCCAAGTAGCTGGGACTACAGGCATGTACCACCATGCCTGGCTAACTTTTAAAATTTTCTGTAGAGATGGGATCTCACTGTGTTACCCAGGCTGGTCTCGAACTCCTGGCCTCAAGCGATCCTCCTACCTTGGCCTCCCAAAGCTCTTGAGATTAAAGAATATACTGGTATATATTGGAGGGCATTATAGAGAAGTAGTTGAATACATTTAATTTTTTTTAAAAAAGACAGGTTCTCTGTCACTCAGAGAGTGCAGTGGTGCGATCACACTACAGTCTCACTACAGCCTCAACTTCCAGGGTTCAAGCGATCCGCCTCAGCCTCCAGAGTAGCTGGCACCGCAGGCGTGTGCCACCACGGCTAGCTAATTTTTGTATTTTATTTTTGTAGAGGCAGGGTTTTTCTATGCTGCCTAGGCTGGTCTCAGACTCCTGGGCTCAAGTGATCCGCCCACCTCAGCTTCCCAAAGTGCTGGGCTTATAGGCATGAGCCACCGTGCTTGGCAGAAATTTAATGTTTAATTCTTATTTTCCATTTCGCTTATAATGCTGTCAGTAAATTATCTTTTCAAAATAATTTTGAGTTTCCTGGTACAGTGAAAGATAGAAGGGCTACAAGCATTGTGTTATATTTGAAAGGTTAGCTTCTGTGAGTGGATAGGACTCTGGGGCAAACATCTTTGAATGAATTCCATCAGAGGGCCTTGCTGTGAATGTAGGTTCTGTCCAGGATTGTAGCTGTGAGATCTTGGGCAAGTTACATATCTCTCTGTCTTTCAGTTTCTTCTTCTGAAAGACGAAATGGAAATGGTAAAATGGAAATAATACTAGTACCTACCACATAAAGTTGGAACGAGAATTAAGAGTCATGTCATGGCTGGGTGCAGTGGCTCATACCTGTAATCCCAGCACCTTGGGAGGCCGAGGTGGGCGGATCACGAGGTCAAGAGATCAAGACCATCTTGGCCAACATGGTGAAACCCCATCTCTACTAAAAGTACAAAAATTAGCCAGGTGTGGTGGTGGGCGCCTGTAGTTC